AGGAATGAAGGAAGGAAAGATGGGGAGGGAGGCCCCCCAGTGCTGTACTCCCACTGCAACTCCCACTCTCCACTTCCTCCCAGGGATGCCAAGGCCTGTGTGATCCACGGCACGGACCTGAAGGACATGACCACCGAACAGATTGACGAGATCCTGCACAACCACACTGAGATCGTCTTCGCCCGCACATCTCCGCAGCAGAAGCTGATCATCGTGGAAGGATGCCAGAGACAGGTAAGGCCCAAGGAAGGGGAACCCCAGTCGGGGGTCTGGCCTCTGCAACGCCCCCAATGTTGGGGTTGTCATTGGGCAAGAGGACAGAGGCAGGAACATTGGGGTCTCAGGCAAGGCTAGGCAAGGACCCCAAAGCTGGCTGCCTATTAATAATAATAATCATAACAAGAATCATAACAACAACAATAATAGTAACTGCAAAGTGACACAATACAATTTAAAAATGTGAACATCAATGCTGAATCCTGTGCGTCATGGAACATGAACACTTTAAAAGGGGGGAGCTTCCTTTGGTCAAAGTGACTAGATGCTCTCTGGATGTTTGGGACTACAGCTCCCATCATCCCCAGTCACTGGCCTTGCCAACCAGGGCTTATGGAAAAAGATGGAGGGAAGGAAAGAGAAAGAGACGGAGGAAAGGAAAGAGGTAAGAGTATGGTATTGGGTAGGAGTAGAGTAACTGTTTTGAGAGATGGTGATTGGGAAGGAAGGAGGAAAGAATTGTGATCCGGGAAGGTTGTTTATTAGCGTATGGATAGGAATGGGATGGGAAGGACTGAAGATTGAAGAGATGGATGGAATTAATAGGATTATAGGAGTGTAAGATTGGATTGGGAGGTAAGAGGCGAAGAAGTTGTGAGGGTAAGGAAAGATTGGAAGAGATGAGGAAAGGTACATTTAGGAGGAAGAGATAAGGGAAGGAAATAGAAACAGTGTGGAGGAAAGTGTTTATATGGAGGTTAATTGGAGATGGTGATTTGGTGAGGGAGGCGATGAATAGGAAGGTATAGAATGGATGGGAGAGATTGGATGGGAAGTATTTTAAGATTTGGAAGAGATGGATTGGAAATGTTTGAAAGAGGAAGAGAGGTAGTGGAAAGGTAAGGAGGTAAGAATTGTTGAGGGAAGGATTAGGAGGATAGGACTTGTGATGGGAAGGATAATGATGTGAAGAGGATGTGAGGAAAGGATAGGAGGTAAGAGAATAAAGGGTTCAAGGATTGAAAAGAAAGAGGTGGAGGAAAGGAAGGAGGAAGAGATGGAGGGAGGGAGGGAGGAAAGGAAGAGATGGAGGGAAGGAAGGGGAAGAGATGGAGGAAAGAGGAAGAGATGGAGGGAAGGAAAGAGGAAGAGATGGAGGAAAGGAAGAGAGGAAGATGAGGAAGGAAGGAGGAAGAGATGGAGGAAAGGAAGGAGGAAGAGATGGAGGGAAGGAAAGAGGAAGAGATGGAGGAAAGGAAGGAGGAAGAATTGGAGGGAAGAAAGAGGAAGAGATGGAGGAAAGGAAGGAGGAAGAGATGGAGGGAGGGAGGCATGAAAGGAAGGAAGGAAGGAGGGAGAGATGGAGGGAAGGAAAGAGGAAGAGATGGAGGGAAGGAAAGAGGAAGAGATGGAGGAAAGGAAGGAGGAAGAGATGGAGGGAGGGAGGCATGAAAGGAAGGAAGGAAGGAGGGAGAGATGGAGGGAAGGAAAGAGGAAGAGATGGAGGGAAGGAAAGAGGAAGAGATGGAGGAAAGGAAGGAGGAAGAGATGGAGGGAGGGAGGCATGAAAGGAAGGAAGGAAGGAGGGAGAGATGGAGGGAAGGAAAGAGGAAGAGATGGAGGAAAGCCAATCAATATGTAGGAACAGAAAGTCCATTTGCTTTTGTGTACTGGAGGAGAGGTGAGTGGAGGCATGAAAGGAAGGAAGAATAAAGGAGGGAGAGATGGAGGGAAGGAAGGAGGGAGAGATGGAGGAAAGGAAGGAGGAAGAGATGGAGGGAAGGAAAAAGAAAGAGGTGGAAGGAAGGAAGGAGGAAGAGATGGAGGGAGGGAAGCATGAAAGGAAGGAAGGAGGGAGAGATGGAGGGAAGGTATTTGTTGTTTATGGTTATTGTTTGGCTTTTTTGAGAGATGTTGTTGGGGAATGTGAGTTGTTAATTGAGTGTGGTGGAGGTATATAGGAAAGGAGTAAGAGATGGAGGGATGAATTAATTTAAGAAAGAGTGGCAGGAAAGGAAGGAGGAAGAGATGGAGGGAGGGAGGCATGAAAGGAAGGAATAAAGGAGGGAGAGATGGAGGGAAGGAAGGAGGGAGAGATGGAGGAAAGGAAGAAGGAAGATATGGAGGGAAGGAAGAAGAAAGAGCTGTCCCCTCTCCCATTGGCAATGCCCCTCAAGCCAGCCTCAAGCCAACTCTGGAGGAGCCCCCCAACTGGACTCGTCCTTCTGATGGCCTTGACCCTTCTTCCTTCCTTGCAGGGGGCCATTGTGGCCGTCACTGGGGACGGAGTGAACGACTCTCCCGCCCTGAAGAAGGCGGACATTGGGGTGGCCATGGGCATCGCTGGCTCAGACGTCTCCAAACAGGCGGCGGACATGATCCTGCTGGACGACAACTTCGCCTCCATCGTCACCGGAGTGGAAGAGGGTGAGTGGGCGGCTTAGTTGGTCCGGATCCCTGTGTGGGTCAAGGCACAACCAGACCGCTGGACGCTCCAGCACTGAGCCCTGGGCCTCCCCTCTCTCTGTCCTTCTCAGGCCGCCTGATCTTCGACAACCTGAAGAAGTCCATCGCCTACACCTTGACCAGCAACATCCCCGAGATCACCCCCTTCCTGCTCTTCATCATGGCCAACATCCCACTGCCCCTTGGAACCATCACCATCCTCTGCATCGACTTGGGCACCGACATGGTGAGTCCGGCCCTCAGACCCTCAGACCCAGACCTCCTCCCTCCCTTGAGCAGGCCCTTGCGTTGAAGAGCAAGTCGGTGCTTTGGGTCTTCCATTGGCTTCTTGAGTTGACCCCTTCAACTTGAGTCCATTGGGTCCTTGAGTTGACCCCTTGAAGGGCATGTCAACACTTGTGTCCATTCTGTTGTCTCCTTAGGTAGAGCCATTGAATGGCAAGTCAAGGCTTATATCCATTCTGTTGACCCCTTGAAGGGCAAGTCAATGCTTGTGTCCATTCCATTGGCTCCATGGGTTGACCCCTTGCAGGACTAGTCCTTCCTTTGACTCTAGAGGCTGACCCTTTGAATGACTGGCCAGAGCTTATGTCCATTCTATTGGTTCAATGAGTTGGCCCCTTGAAGAGCAAGTCAATACTTATGTCCATTCCTTTGGCTCCTTGAACTGACCCCTTGAAGAAGTCAACACTTGTGTCCATTGGCTCCATAAGTTGACCCCTTGAAGGGCAAGTCCATTCCCTTGTCTCTATAGGTTGATCCCTTGAAGAGCAAGTCAATGCTTATGTCCATTCCATTGGCTCCTTGAATTGACCCTTTGAAGAAGTCAATGCTTGTGTCCACTGGCTCCATAGGTTGACCCCTTGAAGAGCAAGCCAAAGCTTATGTCCATTTCATTGGTCCCATGAGCTGACCCCTTGAAGGGCAAGTCAGTACCTTTGTGTCCATTCCATTGGCTCCTTGAGTTAACCCCTTGAAGGACAAGTCTGTTCCTTTAGCTCTATGGGTTGACCCCTTGAAGGGCAAGCCAAAGCTTATGTTCATTCCATTGGTCCCATGAGATGACCCCTTGAAGGACAAGTCAACACACGTGTCTATTCTGTTGGCTCTATGGGTTGACCCCTTGAAGGGCAAGTCTGTTCCTTTAGCTCTATGGGTTGACCCCTTGAAGGACAAGCCAAAGCTTATGTCCATTTCATTGGTCCCATGAGCTGACCCCTTGAAGGGCAAGTCAGTACCTTTGTGTCCATTCCATTGGCTCCTTGAGTTAACCCCTTGAAGGACAAGTCTGTTCCTTTAGCTCTATGGGTTGACCCCTTGAAGGGCAAGCCAAAGCTTATGTTCATTCCATTGGTCCCAGGAGCTGACCCCTTGAAGGGCAAGTCAATGCCTTTGTGTCCATTGGCTCCATGAGTTGACCCCTTAAAGGAGCAAGTCAACGCTTCTGTCTATTCCATTGGCTCCTTGAGTTGACCACTGAATATCAAAACAATACTTGTGTATATCTACATATCTGTATCTCCTGCCTTGCTTTGACCACAGGTGCCGGCCATCTCCTTGGCCTACGAAGCGGCCGAGAGCGACATCATGAAGCGCCAGCCCCGAAACCCCAAGACTGACAAACTGGTCAACGAGCGACTGATCAGCATGGCCTACGGGCAGATTGGTGAGTGGTCAGCGCTGTGGACACTGTGGACCGTGTAGGGTCAAGACACCCTTGGTGGGCAGATGATGGGAAATGCAAGCTCTCCTCTTGCATGGCAATGGGGGTCTCCATGGACAAGCATTTCGGAGAGTTTCCTTGGCATTTGGGTGCAAGTGGCGCGTTGGATTGGCTGCTGAAAATTATTGTTGTTGTTGTTGTTTACTGCATTGTTGGCCCACCTTTCTCTCTATTGTTACTACTACGACTACGACGACT